CCGACTCGTGCTCCTATCGAGGAGCAATGCACAGCACCTGGTCTCCACACTCCCACAAGGGGGCACGTGTGGGCACGTGTGGGAACTTGTGGGAACTTGTGGGAACATGGACTCAGACGTCTCTAGGTCAACCTTCAGGAAGTGTAGGGAGGACCCCGGGGTGCTAACAGGGGTATCTGAGGGGGTGGGAGCATGGGGGGAGGAGGGCAAGGGCAGCACCTCCAGATTTTACTGGGTGCGCTTGGGTGACTACGTGAATTCCCCCCAAGTACCTATGGTCTTTCATAACTTAATACAAACGAACAGGGGAAATGACAATTAACTTGTGAAGCCAGAACTCAAGCTGAAGGGACAACCTGAGCTTCAGTGTATGAGTCTCTGGGCCACCAGTATTCAGTACCCTTCCCCAGTCTCCCACGCCGACTCAGAAGGCCATCGCTAGGCCACCTCCTGACTAGTTCTCGAGTCTGTCCCCTTCTCTCCAACTGCCATGCCACCACACTAGCCCACGCCAAGACCAACTGCTGCTAGATTTCCTGCTTCCACTCCAGGCCTCCAACCCAGTCTACACAGCAGCCCCGAGCTAGCCTCAGTGCGAATACCAAACCCACTCACCACCCTACCCCATCAAAACTCCTCACTGGCTCCCAAGGGCTCTGAGGAGCCTGGCCTTCAGGCCCGCAGAGCCTAGCCCCCCCTCCATTCACACCCCATACACACAACTCACCAATTTAAAGTGCACAATTCAATGGTTTTTAATCTACTCAGAGAGTCATGCAACCATCGCAATTTTAGGACCTTTTCACCATCGGAAAAAGAAAATCTCCACCCATTAGCTACCCCCCATTAGCTGTCCCCCATCCCCCACACCCAGCTAGGCAGTCACTAATCTACTTCCTGTATGTATGGATTTGATGATTCTGGCTATTTCATGTTAATGGGATCATAACATATGTGGTCCTGGTGCCTGGGTAGCTCCATTGGTTAAGTGCCTGCCTTTGGCTCAGGTCATGATCCTGGGGCCCAAGGATCGAGCCCCGCATCGGGCTCCCTCCTCAGCAGGAAGCCTGCTTCTCCCTCTCCCTCTGCCACCACCCTCACTCATGATCTCTCTCTTAAATAAAATCTTTAGGGCGCCTGGGTGGCTCAGTTGGTTAAGCGACCGCCTTTGGCTCAGGTCACGATCCCGGAGTCCTGGGATCGAGTCCCGCATCGGGCTCCCTGCTTGGCGGGGAGCCTGCTTCTCCCTCTGACCTTCTCCCCTCTCATGCTGTTTCTCTCTCTCTCTCTCTCAAATAAATAAATAAAATCTTAAAAAAGAAAATGTTTAAAAAAATGTTTAAAATCTTTAAAAATAAAATAAAGTAAGATAAAATACGTGGTCCTTTGTGACTGGTTTCCCTCAGCATAACATTTCTTTTTTTTTTTTTTTAAAGATTTTATTTATTTGACAGAGAGAGAGAGAGAGAACAAGTAGGCAGAGAGGCAGAGAAGCAGGCTCCCTGCTGAGCAGGGAGCCCGATGCGGAACTCGAACCCAGGACCCTGGGATCATGACCTGAGCCGAAGGCAGCCGCTTAACCGGCTGAGCCACCCAGGCGCCCTCAGCATAACATTTCTGAGTCTCCTCCATCTTGTAGCAGGCGTTAAGAATTCCGTTCCTTCCTACGGCCGTGTAATACCCCACTGTGTGGCTATACCACAGTGGGTTTGTCCATCGTCAGTCAATGAGCTTCTGGGCTGTTTCCAACAGCCTGATCCAACATACTGATCCTGAGTAACGCCGCTATGAACATCTGCGCGTGGCTATTTGTGTGCGCGTATGTTTTCATTTCTCTAGAGTAATACTGAGGCTTAGAATACCGGGTCACATGGTAACTCAATGTTTGAGCGCTTGAAGAATTGCAGGAATGTTTTCGGAAGCAGTGGTAGCATCTTCCATTCCTACAAGCTGCGTGTAAGAGTTCCAACGTCTCCACATCCTCTCCGACACTCACTATCATCTGACGTTTCTGTAATAACCACCCTGGTGGTGTGAAGTGGGATCTCATTGTGGTTTTAATTTGCATTTCCCTGACGGCTGATGATGTCGAGCCTTTTGTCACATGCTTATCAGCCGCTGACAGATCTTTCACTGCCATCAGTGACCCTTCTCAGGCCACTGCCCTGCCTCTACCCTCACCCTCCTCTTCTGCACCCCACAGTCAAGTGACCTGGAAAGACCTGAGGGGCACTCCTCTGCTCAACACCCTGCAGTGGCTCCCCACTCCCTCAGAGAAAAGGCTTCCAAGGCCCTGTGTGATACCACCCCAACCACACACACCTCGTTCCCCCATGCCCCATCCTGTTCCAGCCACACCGGCCTCCCTTCCACCCCTCCAATGTGCTGAGCCTGTGCTCGGCTGTTCCCACACCTGGGACGCTTGTCCTTGGACACACACACAGCTCCCTTCCCGCCTTCCTTCAACCCTGGGTTCCAATGACACCTGCTTGGTGAGGCCTACCCTGGCCACCTGGCTTGTAAAATTCAGCATGGCGTTCACATCACCTAGTACCCCGAGCCCCTTCCTGCTCTACTTCTTCTTCCACAGTTCCTGCTCCCTTCCATGCACCCCAAGTTTTACTTATTTGTTGGATTGTTTTATGTGTGCCTTTCCCGCTACAGGGCAAAGAGGTGCCCTAAGCACCCAGAGGGGTGCCCAGCACACAGCAGGCGCTCAGTAAATGCCTGTTGAATGAATGAACACCTCCGATCTGTATGGCACTCTGCTAGGGGCTGGGGAGAGTCCCTGCTCTCCTGGGGCTGATCTACTCAGAGGTGACAAATTCTGACAGACCCTGATCAAAGAAGGTGAAGTGAACAAGTATGGGAGTGGAGGTGAGGGATGATAAGGTGATCCGAGGCCACGAGGAGGAAGAGGAGAAGACAAGGGACCCACGTCCACACGTCCCCCAGTGAGACAGCTTGGCTGATACTGGAGACCCACAGAAAGGCGGCCCAGCGGCCCAGGGGAGAGTGTGCTTATGGCAGCGTGGGGTTTACTCAAAATGTACTGGCGCCGAGGACTCTTGCCAAGTTTCCAGCAGGGATGGTGCATGTCGGGACTGGGATTCCAGGGGCTGGTAAACACCGACCTACCCGAGGGCCACTTGGGGCACCACCGGCTTCTCTAGACGAAGTGTGACTGGAACACACCCCCGCCCCCCGCCTTGGTCTGCATATTGGCTAGGCCATTTGGGCTGGAGCAGAACTGAGTCCTGGGTTGGGTTTGCTGACTCCAATTTTAAGGTGACTGTTCAGGGCGCCGGCGACCCTTCCCTCCCGCCCCCCACACCAGGTCCTGTTGAGTTGCACTGAACCCCATCACCTCTCCCGACCGCCACGGCCACAAACCTGCTCCGCGTGCTATCGCCTCCACCTGCACGGCTGCAATCACCTCCTCTTTGGCCTCTCTGCTCCTCCCCGGAGGTCAGACGGAGTCATGTTCTACCCAGAACCTCCAGCGGCTCCTCCTTGAAGGAAAGAACACACTGCTTACCGCGGCCTGGACTTGGGACCTCCCTGCCTCTCCCTTACCTCCCTCCCCTCGGCGCCCCCCACTCGCCAGGCTCACTGGCCCAGCCCTGCCAGCTTCCCGGCCGTGCCGGAAACACGCGGGGCGTGATCCCCTCGCCAGGCCCTGTGCTTGCTGTTCTCTTTCACTGAAAGCTTTTCCATAGCCCTCCCCATAGCTCAAGGCGCCCGCCCTCCCTCCCTTTCTATCCTCCTGGCCCTCATGTACCCTTCTTCGGACTTTATCGTTTCCGACAGGGCCCTATATTCTTGCTTGCTTGTCTGGCTCCCCCAGGAGGGTGTAAACTCCACGACAGCAGGGGTTTCATCCCTTTTATGCTGCGTATTCCAAACGCATCCTGCCTGCACAGCGCCGGCGCTCCAACCTGCAGTGAATCCTACAGCGATCCACCGGACAGGGTCGTCGCAAGCACCAAGGGACCAGGCCCAGGCCCAGGCCCAGGCCCGCAGAGGAAGAACAGGGTCTGGCCCACAACGGTATGTGCTACATAATAACCACCATTATCCTTATTTCTGTGTCTTTTGGATGCACTCTTGCTGTAGGACCTGGTTTGACTACCACCTCAGCCTTGTCGCTGCTGGTGGGACACCGCGCCCCCAGTGCAGGCCTGCAGGGTGGAGGCCGGGAGCCCGTCGGGGGACACCGCACAAGCCTGCAGGGTGGAGGCCGGGGGCCAGTCGCAGGCAGGGCCGTGCCTCGACCTCCCTCCTGCCATCACCCGGGTTCCCAGCGTCCATCTTCCACGTGGGGAGACAGAAACCCGACTTCGTGACTGACGCCTGACCAGGCTCCTAGGCCACAGGCGGCCAAGCCCTCAAGGCCGGGCGGCCGGTTCCTTCAACCCCCGCGCACGGCACGGGTCACGGGGCAATGCCCGCACAAAATGGCGCCTCGCAGAAAAATGTAGCCTACTCGCAGCGCCCACCCCCACCGCGGGCTGAGGAGCTGGCGCGGGTGGCCGCGCACACCTTATTTGCATATACAAAACCGACGAATTTCGTTGGCTGCGAGGCGCTAGGCCCGCGCTAGGCAAGGACCCCATTGGTTACTCTCCATTCCTCCCCGCCCCCTGGCACCGCCTTCTCCGCCAAGGGCTGGCGCGTACGAGCCTCGTGACGCCGGTCTACGGTTGAGCCTCCCTATTGGCCAGTCAGCCTTCCATCATCAATTTAAACCCCCCGAGTCCCGCCTACCCTTGCCCTGTCCCGGCTCCGCGGCCGACCGTTAGTCGCGTGCGCGATTTCCTGGGCGTCAGGGCACGCGCGCGTACGCCGGGCCGAGGAGGCGTCTCATTCAAACGGCCCAATCAGCGGTCGCGTTGCCCCGCGCGTCTTTTCTCTCTCTACCCTCCCTTCTCAGCGCCCCCATTCTCCAGGGACCCCATTACGACCCCCGCGCGTCCCCATTGGCCAACCCGCCGCTCACCCCCCTCCCCAACTTCTTCTCCTTCTTCCTGCAGCTTACGGAAGGGGAGCGAGTGCCTCGAACGCCGAGGACCGTGCGCGGTGACGTCACGGATCGAGGCGCGCCGCTCCGGAGCCGCGGGGGGGGTGTGGTCTACGGGTGGCTATAAAAGGGCGGCGGTGCGCGCGCGACCGGCTCAGTGCGGCCGGGCACTCGGGGCGGGCGGAGTTCTAGGCGCGCTGTGCGGCGGCTGGCGGAGGAAGCGGGGAGTGGAGCGGGGCCGCCGGGGCCTCTCCAGGGCCGCAGCGGCAGCAGTTGGGCCCCCCGCCCCAGCCGGCGGCCCGGAGAGCGCAGGAAGGGGGCCGGGGGGACCCGCCCCCGGCCGGCCACAGTCATGGTGAGCGTGGAGGCCAGGCCTGGGAGGGGCGGTCGGGGTTCCCCCCTGGAGGAGGAGGCGGGGTCTCAGGAGCCTCTCGCGGTCGGCCCGGGGAAGTGGGGGGCCCGCCTGGGGTCCCGGGCCTGGAATGGGCTCACGGGCCTTCCTGGAGGCGGGGCAGGAGCGGAGCCTGGGCGGCCCGCAGGTTCCCCAGAGGGGAAGGCCCGGCTGAGTCCCGGGGAGGGCTCAGGGGCTTTGTGGCTCGCCCGTGGGTGTTAGGAGAGCAAGGACGCTCCGCCTCCGTCTCCAGTCCCGAGCTGGGGTTTCGAAGAGGGTTTCACCAAGGTTAGGTAGGGAAGGGGACCGAGGTAGGCCTCGGGCGTACCCGGAACCATGGGGGACCATGCCGGACGATGAGCGAGCTTTGGTTGCTTCTGGCGAAGGTGGACCCATCCGCAAGCCCCTTCGAAGACCGCCCCCGCATTTCTAGTGGGAGGTCAGCTTTGGACGGCCAAGTATACTGGGTGGGGGTTCTGGGACTGCAGGGTCAACACCAGCGTGGCCACTGCGTCCTTAGATCCTGCAGGAGGCCCCAGCTTGGCCAGCTACTCACCCCCTTTTCTCTGTGTTCAGAACTCCAATGTGGAGAACCTGCCCCCCCATATCATTCGCCTGGTGTATAAGGAGGTGACAACGCTGACCGCTGACCCGCCTGATGGCATCAAGGTCTTTCCCAATGAGGAAGACCTCACTGACCTGCAGGTCACCATCGAGGGCCCTGGTGAGTGTGAGATTGAAGGAGGAGTGTGCTTAGAACTTTCTCCTCTTCAGTGCCAGAGTAGGTCAGAAAGACAAATAGCATAGCGTTTCACTTATACATGGAATCTAAAGAGCAAATGAACACACCAAAAAAAGCAGAACTAGAACAAGAACAGGAAGCCCCTATTATAAGTTGAGCTCTGCCAGGTGCTGGGGACACAGCTGAAGTGGTGGTGTGCTGCACAGAGACCTCTTACTCTCGGTGCTCACGGTTTGCAGGGCAGGACACCACAAATAACAAGTTGTCGTGGATATTTTTGCTGCAGGTAGTGAGAAAACCCTGACCCCTGAGAGAGCATTTAAGGGGCGCCTTGCCGGGGTTCATCAGATGGGGGTTCTCTGGAGGGTGGGCCAGATGACCGCAGACTCCTTGCTGCTGTGCCAGGGGTCCCTAGGACAGGGCAGAGAACAAGCCAGATGCAGCGTCTCAGGAGGGAATGGTAATAACTGAGTGATCATACGCGATTGTGGAGCCATGCGGTGATGCAGTGAGTTGTGTCTATGAAGTAAGCCAAGGGGTGCCACGAGCATGTGGTGGAGGAGCTGGTCAGGGGTGGGAGAGCGGTGAGGGTGTCAGCGCTCCCCAATAGGCCAGGTCCTGAGGCAGGCACTCTGAATACTTAGTAGAAACAGGAAGAAGAGACAGATGAAGCTTTTAGGGCTTGTAGGAGTCTGGAAGGAGGTGGGAAAGGAATCCGTTGGTGGATTTCAAGCAGATGTGAAGGCTGCAGTGTTCAGCTGACGGGGAGGGGGCAGTCAGGAGACCGTGGACCACTGGCCTTTGGGTGAGAGGTGAAGTGGCTTGGCTGGACTAGGGGTTGGGGTCAGATTCAGGAGGGTACCAGGAGGTCACCTGCCCAGGTTACCACGGAGGGATGTGGTGACGGGGGCATGAGGAACAACTGTGGGTCTGGAACCACTCCCCCTTTTGTTGTGAGGTGAGCATGTCAGGGGATGAGAACCATTCATGGAGATGGGCAGACGAGAAGAGCGTGGAGGTTACAGAACAATCCCATCATTCGTCTGCGCGCCTTCCAAGTAGACGGTTTTCCAAAGAGACAGTGGTGGGGAGTGTCTGCCCTTCTTGGGAAGGGGACATGACTGGGACACTTGAGAGACGAGACATCCAGGGGTGGCTTTGGGGGTCCCCTGGGAACCTAGCCCCATCGCACTCTCAAGAATGCCTCAGTCTGGTGGAGGAGGCAGCAGAGCACTAGCCTCATAGCCAGCCTGGAGACGAGGCTTTGGGTTTTTTTTGTGGTGCCAAAGAGTCCTGAGCCTCGTGACCGAACCCCCTCTCCCTTACTGCAGAGGGGACCCCTTATGCTGGAGGCCTGTTCCGTATGAAACTCCTGCTGGGGAAGGACTTTCCTGCCTCCCCACCCAAGGGCTACTTCCTGACCAAGATTTTCCACCCCAACGTGGGTGCCAACGGTGAGATCTGTGTCAACGTGCTCAAGAGGGACTGGACGGCTGAGCTGGGCATCCGACATGTGCTGCTGGTGAGTTCTGGGGTGGCCCAGGCGCCTCCCTCCTGGACGTCCCAGTGATGTCTGAGCCATGGTACACGGTGTCTGTCTGAAAATCAGCCCTGAAGGAGTTGGGGGCTTGTGTGTAAAAATCCAGGTTTCCAGCTGGAAAGTCCTGGAAGGATTGGCAGTGCTTGAGCCAGGACACTAAGTATGGTTGTCCAGGGTGCATGGTGCCTCGGGCACCTTTGCTGTAGAGCAAGCGATGGGTTTGTATCCTGGGACGCTTTCCTGATGGTACAAGTCAGCATGCGGTTAGTTAGGGGTGTTGCTCTTTCCCAAGCTAGAGTTCACGGTATCATCAAATTCGACAATCTAAAGTCTGTAGTTCGTTAGTTATGCGGTAGTCACCTCTGTGGTTCTAGAATATTTTCACGAACTGTCATTTCTCAGCCATCAGTGATTTGGCCCACCGGGGACGTTTTGTGTTGTAAGCGTTGTATCTAGTGGGGGCAGACCAGCGGTGCTGCCTGACGCCCCCACAGAGCAGTGTCAGCTGAGCCAGCATGGAGACGCCCGTGATCTCCACGGGCCACCAGAGCAGTTAGGTCACCTACTGGCTCCGTCGGAAGAGCAGGCGACTCGTGATCTCTGGGGCATGAGTTCAAACCCCATGTTGGGTGTAGAGCTTACTTTAAAAAAAGAAAAAAAATTTCTTAATGGAATTGCTGAGGGGCCCTGGGGCAGATGATAGGGGGATGGGGAAACCGAGTTTCCTGCAGGGCACTTGGGAAGGATTGAGTTCCAAGGTAAACATCCTACTCCTCCTGTCCCTGGAGTGTCAGCCGTGGCTGCTGGGGACCCTGGAGATGAGCTCACGGAGTGACTGTGTCCCCGGTGATCCCAAGGAGCTGCAGTGTGGGGAGCTGCGGGTGGGGCCTCTGGCTGTGGGGTCAGGGGAGCTGCTCTTGCCTCGTTTGCAGGCGAGAAAGGTCTTGTCACCTGATGGAGGCCAGGCATGTTTTGGGCATTGCAGGCTCCCTGTCACAGTGGCTGACGTGGAGGTAGGACAGACAACCAGGGTGTAGGGGCCACCGCTGGTCCAGCCAGACCCACCTCAGGCTCCCCCAGGGCTGCCCGCCACACCTATATGGAGTCCATGCACTTTGGGCTTTAGTTTGCTCCTCCGTTAAAAGGGGTTCGAGAAGGGGTACCAGGACTGGCTCCCTTCCTAGATCTCCCTCTGGGTGCTCCTCAAGTACCGGCCCCCCCAGTGGGCCCATGCAGGTGACACTGAGCAAAGGTGAGGACACAGGTGTGAGCGGGGCCAGAGTTGGCTTGGGGGAGGGTGTTGAGAGCAGAGAACACCATTGTGGAGCCCCTAAGGCTGGATTCCAGAGGCTTGGGGGGCCCCCGTTGGTGGCCCCAGCCCTGACCTTGGCCCTCTCCCCACAGACCATCAAGTGCCTGCTGATCCACCCGAACCCTGAGTCGGCCCTCAACGAGGAGGCAGGCCGCCTGCTCTTAGAGAACTACGAGGAGTACGCGGCCCGTGCCCGCCTGCTCACCGAGATCCACGGGGGCGCAGGTGGGCCCAGCGGCGGGAGCGCCGAGGCCAGCAGGGCCGTGGCCAGTGGGGGTGCGGCCCCCTCCACTGACCCCATGGGCCCGGGAGGGGCCGACGGTCCCATGGCCAAGAAGCACGCGGGTGAACGGGATAAGAAGCTGGCGGCCAAGAAAAAGACGGACAAGAAGCGGGCACTGCGGCGACTGTAGTGGGTTTTTCTCCCAGCTCTACCCCCTCCCCCTGACCCCGACCCCCAACCCCCAACGCTGTCTCTAAGTTATTTAAATTATGGCTGGGGTGGGGGAGGGTGCGAGGGCACTGGGACCTGGATTTGTTTTTCTAAATAAAGATGGAAAAGCAGCTGCTCTGCCTCACAGACACCCCAGGACCGCTGCCTCAGCCACACTGGTCCCCCTGGCCCTTGAAGTGCATGCGTGGACTTGCGGCGCGGGGCATGGCAGGGGTCAACCATGGGGGAGGAGGGAGCCCCGTGTCCCAGCTGAAAGCGGGGGAGCTGGGCCTGCTCTCCATCACATTTGCCCTTGTTCTTTCCTGAAGTAGGCGTGTGACTTGGCAGGCTCCCTGCCTGGGACAGCCAGGTGACAGGTGTGGGCCCAGCTGCTGGCGGCTCAGCACCTGATCCAGCTCAGGGTGGCAAACCATGTTCCATGTGTGCTTCTGCGTCCCAGGCCTCAAACGACGCCCGTCCAACCCTTTCTGTTGCTCTGTGGTCCGGGCGTGGCGAGCTGGCCACTCTGGTTTCACTAGCGAAGACCTCTGCCAGTCCACATCCCCAGCTCTTCAAGCTGATGGTGGGTTTCAGTCCTCGGCTCTTGGAAGCTGCCTGGGTTACTCCCCTGTGGGCTCCTCTCCCTGCCACCCCTCTCAGCCTCAGGTGCCCCACTTAAGGGCCAGGTCCTTCAGATAGGCTCAGCTGATGAGCTGAGGCCACCCAGGTTCTGTTTAACCCCAAGTGACTTCATCATAGAAACTGACCTGTCACAGGGGCAAGTTCTGCCCCCCACACACATACACTCCAGGGCAGGGCCAGGAGACATGCGGCACGTTAGCTTCCTGTCCCATCCTGCTTGACTGCAGGCCCTTGTATGTCAGATTTGTGGGGGCCAGAGGTGAAAGCCGCAAAACCAGAGTGGTGGAGTGGGTCTTGGCAGAAACTGTTGAAGGCACAGAGGCTTTTAAGATTTTGACAGACAGCGAGAGGGAACACAAGCAGGGGGAGCGGGAGAGGGAGAAGCGGGCTTCCCGCCGAGCAGGGAGCCCGATGCGGGGCTCGATCCCTGGGACCATGACCCGAGCTGAAGGCAGACGTTTAACAACTGAGCCACCCAGGCGCCCCGGCACAGAGGCTTTAAATTGGCTTATTGTCCATTAACAAAAATGTTACGGTCCTCTCAAAAAAGGATAACGGAAAGAAAAAGGAAACCGTATCTCCATTAAAGACTTGTACGTGAACTTTCATAGTTGCTTCCTTAGTGCTCGATGAAAAATGGAAACAACCCCAATGCTCAACAGGTGAAGGAGTGAAACAGTTCATAGAAGGGAATACCACTCGGCAAAAGATTAACCCCAAAAACAGCACGGACGAACCTCGAAAATACTCTGTGCTAAGTGAAGCCATATTCAAAAATGTACAAAATACCTGAATCCACTTAGATGAAATCCCAGAACAGGAAGTATTGCTCTAGTGCCTGGAAGCAGGGCGTTGGCCGTCTGGGATCGGGGAAGGCAGGCATGGGGAGCCTTCTGGGGTGAGGAGCATGTTCCAGACCTCAATTATACCGGTGGTCACACAGGTGCGTAAATGTGTCAGAACTTCAATATACTTTTTTTTTTTTCAGATTTTGTCAGCACACAAGCAGGGGGAGCGGCATGCAGAGGAAGAGGCAGGCTCCCCGCTGAGCAGGGGGCCCGATGCGGGACTCCATCCCAGGACCCCGGGATCATGACCTGAGCCGAAGGCAGACGCTTAATGACTGAGCCACCCAGGCGCCCCAAAACTTCAACTGTACTTAAAATAGGTGTGTTTTTGTGTAAACTATATCCATGAAGTTTATTTAAATATTTTAAAATCAACTTGTTTATCTAAAGTAGATGGACGATAAGTCAGTGGGCCAGAAGGTATTTGCAAGACCTAGAACCAAAAAAGACTAATCCAAAGCATATAAAGAGCCCTTACAAATCAATAAGAAGAAAACAAGAGTTGGCAAAAGCACTTAAACATGTCACAAAAAAGAGGAAATCCACGCAATTGCCAAACACATGAGAAGACAGTCCTCACAAGTAGTTGAGAAAATGCGGTGTAAGCTAGAGTTGGTAGGACTCCACTGCCACGAAGCAGAGAAGTTTGTTTAAAGTCTACCAACACCAAGTGTTGACGAGATCATAGAGCCTCGGACACCTTCACATGCCCCTGGTGGGAGCATGTGATGGTGAAACACGCGTGGAAACTTGGTAGAAAGTGGAAAGTACACACCCCTTACTCAGCATCCTTGCACATATGCTGCAGGCTTTCACCATTTGTCCTAATTACAAGTGGTACACACACAGTCACACGTTCAAGAAACAACACCTAGAGCAAAAAATGGAATTACCACTGCTTCTAGCAGCATGGAGAGATCACAGACGTCACAATCAGCCAAACCAGCAAGTCACGAAAGATTGCCACAATTCGGATGCCTTCGTGCACAATGCCAAAGCAGGCGAAAATAAGTCGTACTGGGGCGCCTGGGTGGCTCAATCGGTTAAGCATCTGCTTTCAGCTCAGGTCATGATCCCAGGGTCCTGGGATCGAGTCACATCAGGCTCCCTGCTCAGCAGAGACTCTGCTTCTCCCTCTCCCTCTGCTCCTTCCCCCTGCCTGCGCGCTCTCTCTCTCTCAAATAAATAATCTTTTAAAAAAATTCTGGGGGCGCTTGGGTGGCTCAGTCGTTAAGCACCTGCCTTTGGCTCAGGTCATGATCTCAGGGTCCTGGGAACGAGTCCCGCATCGGGCTCCCTGCTCAGCAGGGAACCTGCTTCTCCGTCTGTCTGCAGCTCCCCCTGCTTGTGCTGTCTCTCTCCTCTCTCTGACAAAAAAAAATAAATCTTAAGATTTTTATTTTTAAGTGATCTCTACACCCAGCAGGAGGCTTGAACTCAACCCTGAGATCAAGACTTGCACGTTCCAACAACCCAGCCAGCCAGGTACCCCTGTACTGCAGAATTTTTAAAACACAAACTCATTATGTGTGAATATGGGCTGATCTTAAGCTTGATTAAGTGAACAAAAAGCAACAATGCGAACAGTGCATATGATATAGTACCATTTCTGTTCATTTTTTAAAAAAGATTTATTTGAGAGAAAGTGTGAGTAGGGCAGAGGGAGAGAGAGAGAGAATCCCCCGAGCGGACTCCCCACTGACCATCGGGCCCCACGGGGGACTCGATCCCACAACTCATGAGATCATGACCTGAGCCAAAACCAAAAGTTGGATGCTTAACTGACTGAGCCACCCAGGTGCCCCTCTGTTAATTTATTTTAAATTTTTGTTTTTAAGATTTTACTTGTCAGAGTGTGTACGAGCGGGGGAAGGCATCCCTAAATTTTTCTTTAAAATAGGATACGTGTCAGGACGCCTGGGTGGCTCAGTCAGTTAAGCGTCTGCCTTTGGCTCAGGTCATGATCCCAGGGTCCTGGCATCGAGTCCCATGTGGGGCTCCTTGCTCAGCAAGGAGCCTCTCTCCCTCTGCCTGCCACTCCCCCTGCTTGTACTCTCTTACAAATAAATAAAATTTTAAAGATAGGATACGTGTTACTTGCTCACATATGAATTTAATGCTCTGGAAGGTCACATTGGAACCTGGGAATACTAATTGCCTCAAGGAAGGAGAGCTTGGGGGTACCTGATGAATGTTACTCTTTCAAAAAACAAATTTTTTTTTTTTTTTAGATAAAAGTTTCTACAAAGGGAGGGGTGCCCTGGTGGCTCAGTCAGTTAAGCATCTGCCTTCAGCTCAGGTCATGATCTCAGGGTCTTGGGATCAAGCCCTGAATTGGGCTCTTTGCTCAGCGGGGAGCCTGCTTCTCCCTCTCCTTGTGCCCCTCCCCCTGCTTGTGCTCTCTCTCCAGCTCTATCTCAAACAAGTAAAATCTTTAAAAAAGTTTCCACAAAGAAACAGCTACCTCTCATTCCTGTCTCCCCGACACCCAGTTCCCTTTATCACGGACAACCAGTGTTACCAGGTTCTTCTATATTTTTCCCAAGAAATTCTACACGAATGCAAGCAAATTTAAATGTTTGTTCTGTTAAGCCAACACCCTTTTATTTTCCTCACAGCACAGTGTCCTGTACACAGCATGCCGCTCCTTGCTTTTTCTTTTCTCTAAGATTTTATTTATTGGAGAGGGGGCGCAGAGGGTGAGAGAGAATCCCAAGCAGAAGTCCGTGTCGAGTGCAGAGGTGGATGCAGGGCTCCAGCCCAGGACCGCAGATCATGACCTGAGCCGAAATCAAGTCAGATGCTTAACCGACTGAATGACCTGAGCCACCCAGGCGCCCCTGCTCCTTGCTTTGTCAACTACACTGGAAGTCTTGGAAGTCTGTGCACAACAGCATCTCCCTGCTCTTAGCTGCCTAGCGTTCCATCATATACACGTGCCACAATTTCTATCACATGTCCTGTTCTCATTGACCAACAACGCCAGAACGAATAACCTTTGGACATGGGCCATGTGGCACACAAGGGAACAGATCTTTAGAGCAAATGTTAGAAGTGACATTAACGTGCCAAAGTCTACATTCGTTTTGTACAGATGTTGCTGAATTGTTCGCCATGCGGTTTGTACCAGTCTACGCTCTGTCAGTGATTCAAGTATACCTATTCCCCCATGCATGCACTAGCACTTTGAGCTCTACCTAAGATGTGGGTTTTTCCCAGTCTGAGAATCATAAACCATCTTAGAATTTTATTTAATTGAGAGGGAGGGGGAGAGAGAGAGAGAGAGAGAGAGAGCAAGCGAGAGCGCAAGAGCAGGGGGAGGGAGAAGCAGCGTCCCCGCTGAGCAAGGAGCCGGGATCATGACCTGAGCCAAAGGCAGACACAACCTACTGAGCCACCCAGGTGCCCCTTAGAATTTTTTCCCCCTAAAGATTCCACTTATTTATTTGACAGAGACACAGTGAGAGAGGGAACACAAGCAGGGGGAGTGGGAGAGGGAGAAGCAGGCTTCCCGTGGAGCAGGGAGCCTGATGTGGGGTTGATCCCGGAACCCTGGGATCATGACCTGAGCTGAAGGTAGACGCTTAACGACTGAGGTACTCAGGCGCCCCTATTTTGGAATTTTTTTAATAGGCTTTTTTTTTTTTTTTTAA